TATGTCACGTGACGTGTGAGGATGGTATATAGAGAGAGGGGTGTGTAGAGGGATTACAATTTTTGTGATCAACTACAAAGGAAAGTTTGATCTTAATAATTCATGTTATTAGGTACCTTGACCTAGATAAATACATAATGCAAACCACAGTCGACCCTCTGTTTTCACTATCCTGATGGACTGGCACCTTGAGTAATCTACAGTTGGAACAGGCTGTGTGATAGAGATTGTTAACTTGATATACGTGGCATAAAATAGTTAACTGTCGTGACTGCTTGGAGTGAGTGAGTATGGTTTTACGCCGCGTTTAGCAATATTCAAGCAATATCACGGCGGGAGACACCAGAAATGGGCTTCACACATTGTACCCATCTCGGGAATCGAACCTGGCTCTTCGGCGTGACGAGCTAACGCTTTAACCACTAGGCTACCCGACCGCCCCGTGACTGCTTGGAGGGATATGAATGTTGACATGCTGTAATAATGCAACTACTTAACGGTGGTATGACTATTCATCAGGGGTCCATCTGATTCACAATACCAGAATATATTGTGAATAAACACAGATTAAATCTTCTTTATTGTGATATAAAACACATGTTTTATATGAACAGCCACTGAAAGGATAATATGTACATTATGTGAGTTGAGGGCATTAATCATTAACAAAACTGAAGTAACTTTGGGTATCTGAGGATCTGCAATTTACAATATGTCCACAGAGTAATAGTTATTTGTTTTGTAGTCATAAACACTTCTCGTCACTGAAACATTATCTGGAAGATAATGTTCACCAATTGTCACATCACACCATCATCACAGATAAAATCTCGGTAACGGTCAGTTCTTTCAGACCCGTGAAGATTCCGGGGTAGAATATGTCTTCAGCAACCCATGCTTGCCGTAAAAGGGGACTATGCTTGTCGTAAAATGCGACTAACGGAATCGGGTGGTCAGGCTTGCTGACTTGGTTGATGCATGTCATCGATCCCAATTGCGTGGATCGATGCTCATGATATAAATCACTGGATTATCTGGTCCAGACTCGATTATTTACAGGCCGCCGTCATTAAGCTGGAATATTGCTGAGTGCGGCGTTAAACAACAAAGCAACCATTACAATCAGCTCATAAAATGAATTTGCAGGGCTCACCATTGTTGTGTCTGATTTTTTATGACTGATTCTCCAGTCTATCTGTCATGTTCCTCAGTAGAAACAACGTAGTGATATCCAGGTTACGCCTCTGACAGATGTAGTGCAACGGTGTGTTTCCATCATTATCAGCAACATCCACATGAAAACCATGTACTAGCATCAGATGAACTGTTCCGACATCAACATGAGATCTATCAAGGCTATCTGCCCATGCTTATTCCTCTGACAAACTTTTGCCCCCCTTGTGATCTCTTCGGTATCCAGCCTCATAATCACGTAGAGCACGTTTTAATTCTTCTTCATCCGTTCCATATTTCTGACACAGATGGTCCACTAACGTGTCCTCGTTGTCCGCCTTGAAGACAGTATCCCCTTGGTTCGTTCTGACCAGAGATAGCGATTCATATAAAAGGGGGCGTTTCCAACCAGCTATTTCAATCCCGTCATCTCGATCTTCTCTTAGACATAGGTAATGCAAAGCCGTCTCTTCATTCTCATCAACCCTATTGATGTGCGCTCCTTGATCAATTAGCGGGCGAATTATATTGGCATCTACATCTCGATTCTTACATGCATAATGAAGTACAGTCTCCCCATATGCCATAATCCTGACAATACGATGTGGGTCTTTTTCGAGGATGCTTTGGGCTATACCAACAAGAAAACTCTTTGTGTCTTGTTTTGGAGATATATTTATATATTACGCCCCACATTCCAGTAGTATCTTTGCTGCAGTGTAGTTGTGACACCCAACAGTTGCATGAAGCAGTGCTCTCCCTGTACTGTCTCTCTGGTTGATACCAACACACTTCCATGCCTGCAACAGAATTTAAGCAGAAATAAAATATTACTGTTTCACACATCCCAAACTTGACATATTTCTCGTCAGCTCTCTTCAATGAAGATCGCCATGTGTGCGGATTGTTCAAAGATATCTTATTTTTCTCTCGTCAGTTCGTAATATATTAAAAACATAGTTTCGAAACCTTTCAGAGTCGGAAAATGAGTCCAAATGTCTGATGTCATGTGTCTCTGTAATATATTTGAACTGAAGCTTGAGAATTGTATTTTTATGTGAATTTTCGCCCACGAGGTCCCTTATATCATGGCGGGTCACATGTACATGTATGATGTATTCCGAATCTTGACAATGTGACGCTCCGTATTTCTTTCGACTCTAGGTGAGGTGAGGTGAAATGGGGTTTAACGTCGCGTCCAACATTATTGCACTTATGTAGCGACGTGCATGTACGTGTGTGTGTCTGTGTGGCTGCTTGTACTAGTCTGGACTGATGCCGATTTATAGTGTTAGCTCACTGAGATACCATGCCGCAGTTTAACATGAATACCCCACTCAGACACAGTATACTGACTCCGAGCCAACCAGTCCTTGTTTTAGCCCCTTAATGCCGAGCGCCAGACAGGGCAACAACAAGTACCATCTTTTAACGTCTTTTGGTATGACGCGGTCGGGGATCGAACCCCGGACCTTCCGCTCTCTCGGCTTGTCCCGGAATAACACGAGTTGGTCACGAATGTGGTACCATATGTTAAGCTCATTTCCGGTGTTCCCCTAGTGTTATTGCTGGAATATTGCTAGAAGCGGCGTAAAACCAAACTCACTCACTATTGCTTCGGTCCGTGTCCTGCTCATTTTCAAATATTAACAGAAAGCCTGAAAGCCTATATAAGGATCCTTTTAATACATTTCGGACTTAAGAATAGTATTAGTGTTATTACAGTATAATCCCCAAACAAGCAAGTGTTTGAATGGGCAAAGGTTGAACCTGTCATGCAAATTAATAATTTATAACTATCTATACATTTACTAAAAGATTTGCTTATTTCTTGAATTATAAAGATTAAAATGATGGACCAAAAGCAGGGTATGAAACTCCCAGAGATTTCAGCCAGACCACAGGACTGGCTAGCTGAAATACTTGCCAGCCCTGACCAAAACCTGCCTGCCCACTATAATCATATGTTTCTCAGGATAATTTAATTAAAACTTTAAATCGAATTCATTGAACATGAAGTAATGCAAGAAAAGAAATAGCAAACACTTTTTTTCGGTCAGATTTGTATTTAATATCCTAGAATACATCATGTAAATATCCTTATTCCTAAATAGGGCCTAAATTTTAGGTTGTCTAAAAGCTAACGGGGTTTCTTTTTGGTTACATTTTATCATTTATCTTTACATGTGAATTAATGCTTATCAACGGGAAATATTTCGAATATATTCACATATGAAATATAACCCGACCGTCGGGCGGGGGGATTTGAAAATCTGGCAGCCCGAGTTGAAATCAACCCGTCTCGGACGGTCGGGCAGGCAGGTATTTCGAACGCTGCCAACAGGTGCCGTCACCATTGTCATTTTGGTAATTCAAAGATATTCTGATGGCAATCAGTGTAAAAAGAAATAATAGATTAAGGATGCCCGCGGTTCTAAATTCAGAGTATTTTACTTTTTCAGAGATATGTATATTTCAAATATAGACAGTTTAACTAACTTTCCTTTGAAAAAGTATATTGAGTTTGGCGAAATTGTTAAGTCACCGCTGCAATACGCGATTCAGCGGTCGCGGATTTTGCAGAAATCCCCACTCGGTGCAGAAATTATACCGATATATAATGCAGAAAATCATATTCTGCAGAACTCGTTCAGAATTTTGCATTTATCTGCAACAGTATCGTCAAATACACTGCAGATTTTAACACGAAGGTCGAAAACTGGTTTAAACGTGAAGACGGATATTTATTTCCTTTTGAAGTGAAGTTGGCTTTTGTGTTATTGCTTAAGAAAAAAGATACCGAAAGTGTATGCATGTCTGCACTAGCGTTCGCCAGATTCACTTCAATAAGCTAATAATAGTATTCTAACCGTGGATTATGAAAATATCTGCCACAAGCCAAACAGGTGCAACGCTACGAAATTCACGAAAACTATAAGTTTAATAAATACTAACGTGCTACGTAATTCATACTTTACTGCAGAGATAGTGTGAAGCACGAAACGACGTTACTGCCATTCAATAGTGCTGGAAGCAGGACGCGACCTATCGTAAAATAGCATCTTCCCGCTGCAAAGGTGTTAAATCCAGTTAACACCTTTGCCACGGGAAGATATAAATTTGGGAATTTAACTTTTTATTTGTTAGATATATAACCCCCCATTTTGGACGATTGGCTTTGATTTGCTTAAGTGAAACTTCTAATGCGACCAAGGTGGTAGAATAAGCTGGGGTTCTGAGTCAGTATACCATCCACGTGTTGTGTATCCGCTTGCTCTGGCTCATGGGGAGGTCCCATATGGAACAGCACAGCCTGACGGGGGGCTACTGATCTTATGACCACATGGGACCGAGGCGTGCACACAAGGATGATGCCGACAGTTTTAGAAAGAGCAGAGAACACAAAATTATACGGGCAGGCTGTTCTATAGACTAACATCTAGTCTCTGAAATGAACATATCTTACAGAGAAAAAAACAACAACAAAAACAGTTGTTAAATTATCTTCATAAAAATAAAGTCAAAAGGAGCCCAGAGACTCTCTTCAATTTCAGATACAATCATCTAGACTTGCCAAACATTATAAACTTGCAGGGACTGTATTGGATATATTTGTGTCAGGGTCTGTGAGACAGACTATAACTGTACGTTCTACAGTACAGGTTCTGAAGCAATTTTCTTTTCTGGGTTCGTGACCACGGAAGACTCGATTTACTACCATTCATCTCTTTTACTTTACATGCACACCCAACTAATTTTCAAAATGCCGTGCAAGGGAGGTAATTTTATCGCCCACACTCCTAACAGCGATATGCGTAGGTGGGCCTATGGTTATACGCATGTGTTTCAATAACAAGTCGCTGTTTGGAGCTTGCAAGCGCATACATTCCGGAAGCAAAGCGGAGTTGAGAGCACCTCAGCGAAAGTACGAGTTGTTACGAAAGGAAAAGAGATTTCAGTTTTCCATCAAAACGGTAAGACTAATGATGATTTCTACTTTTGGAAAGTGTTGTGTAGTTTTGTTTTACAACAAGGAAGATACGGTAGTGACAATCACAACTGACAGCCACTGAACAGGACCTGCCCGCTGGCGAACCCGGATCGGTACTTTAATGGCTTTAAATACGACCCCAGTTCACAATTGATCGCCTTTAACGTTACGATTATCGCAGCTCTCATAACAACATTATTACTTAGACTGACTTCATGTCTTTTCCCCTCATAGTCGTCATAGTCACGTGGTCATTTCAACAGTTGTCGCCTCTCCCCCCCCCCCCCCCCCCCAAGTAGATGTATTCACGGGCAGTGTCTATTACGTCATTAGACTGGTGTGGGGCGTGTGCCTTCCTGCTATCATAGAAAGTCACGTCAACATTCAACCAGTTCAATCTAGCTTAAGTTCTTTGTCACTGTTGTGTTAACAGTAAACAATAGAATTGTGTAATCAATAACAATGGCGAAGAAAGAAGCGGAAAAATTGCGACATGCCTAGGACATGTTCGTACCATGACTCAGATGGGGTCGTATGTTAATGTAGTTTTATATTGCATTTTCTAGTAGCTACAGTGTATTTTAGTATACACTACATTGCAGCCTGCACAGGAGTGGCCTGGTCTGGATTGTAGTGCACTTATTCCTATACAACACAGACAGACCAATTACGTAGGTGAATGATTTGTCATCATTATATATAGAGTTTGTTTGTTGTTAAATGCCGCACTCAGTGATATTCTAGCTACATGAACATGATGAAGGCGATCTCTAAATAGAGAGGGAAGGATACAGAGCTCCAGATAAGCTTTTGGTGATGTGGGTATTTTACCCATGCATTTTAAAATCATTGGGTATCAGTAATTCTATCTGGGTATTCAAATTTCTGTTACCCGCTAGTTTTTACACATGTGGGTATTTAAGTTAAATATTTAAAAACGCTATTCATCTAGTCACTGCAAACTGGTGTCGTGTGGGTTCGAGAGCTTTAAAGGACTCAAAAATACCATGATACTTCCACACGAAAGTGTGATGGCAAATGATCATGATGTAACTGTCATCGTGGGGTTTGGCAAGGGTGACGGAATGCCCATTTATAATTTCAAAATAAGTTGCTGATTTGCTAATCGAATACGCAGGGTTACTTCACAATATTTTGATGATACGCACAAGTTTTATTTTGGTAGCATATCTGTAGTATTCGTTGCGTATTTGATACGCTTGGATTTTGTTTTACTGCATATTTCTGCATTTCTGATGCGTATTTTACACAGATACGCAGCTTTTCTGGAGCTCTGAGGATAGGGAATAACATTACAAGGACCTTAACAGGATGTGACTTTTGTGTATTCAATTCAATGGGTTATTATATGAAAGGCGACTAACGGGATCGGGTGGTCAGACTCGCTGACTTGGTTAATACATGTCATCGATCACAATTGCATGAATCGATGCTTATGATGTCAATCACTGGACTGTCTGGTCCAGACTCGATTATTTGCAGACCGCAGTCATATAGCTGGAATATTGCGTAGTGTGGTGTTAACAACAAACAAACAAGACATGAAAGGCCATTGGCCCATCAACAAATTAGTTACAAAGACATATTTACAGTAATATTAACGTCATCAATGCGTCGAGAATAATGGAAAATCGCTTCATTGTCGTGTAGATTAATGTACTATAAATGAAACAAAATACAGACATCTCTCCTGTGATATCACAGCTAAAGCAAGGCCTCTAGCTGGGATTTCAATATGGATACGTGCTGGCTATGGGATCAGGGCAGTTTCCTGCATTTTAGATAACCATGAAATCACACATGACTGGGTTTTTTTGGTGTAAATATGTACTTTGTGAGACTATTTAATATGTTTTAAGAAGTTTGGATTCAATAGCTCTCCTTTTATGATTGTTTCACAAAGTAGACCTGGGCCCACTTGCACAAAGCGATCTTAGCACTAAGATGATCGTAACTCCCATACTTTAATAGTCATAGCGCTAAGATCGCATTGTGCAAGTGGGCCCAGGAGATTCAGAAGCTGAAAATTTTATTATCAATCTCGATGAAAAGGAAGGGTCTAAATTTCTATGTTACAAGTGCTTATTATCAAGCTCATTATGAAATCATGTTCCCTGATTTCGATGGTGAATGAAAAATTATTATTCTTGTTGGCACAGTTTAATTCCAAAGTTGTTATCGAGTGCGTGTGGCACACTTGTAAATGAAAACATTTCTATCTCTGTACAATGGGGACCGCCTCAGTGGTCTAGTGGTAGAGTGTCAGCCCAGAGATTGGAAGGTCCGGGGTTCAATTCCAGTCCGCATCATACCAAAAGATGTTAAAAGATGGTACTAGTCGTTACCCTGTCTGGCGCTCAGCATTAAGGGGCTAAAACAAGGACTGGTCGGCTCGGAGTCAGTATACTGTGTCTGAGTGGGGTATTCATGTTAAACTGCGGCATGGTAAATTCTAAAGTATTCAGGAAATACTACTAATCTGACCGACCACTTGACAAGACGGCACCCAGATATTCGTCCACGTGAAAAAGGGGGATCAAATACTAGTCATTCTATCACATTCATTCACATTGGTGCTAAAACACTGCAGTAACCTAAGATTTTACCAGTTACATGAAGTGAAATTTTGTATTAAAATGTTTTTGAGAGGTCAATTTGAACTTGTTTTCTTTTCATTTCTTGTTTTCTTTACACATAGTATCAGAAAGTTATAATTATTTTGACGGTGTCAGTCAAAATGCTGAAATATATGCTGCTAAAGCCTGCTATAATTGCAAGTGAAAACTATCGCAATAGTAGGGCCACTATCGCAATAGTCAAAAACCCTCAATAGTCACCCCTAATTTCACCCCACCTCACCTCTTGTACACATGCAGGGAAGGGTTGGTGTTCGCAGTTTTATCTGCCTAATATCCTATTGCCACATAGTTTTGTCATGTGTCATGTGATCTCCCGATCATGCCTGTTCATATCCTGCTTAATTTGATGAAGGATAAAGTTGTTCTCTTCCAGGGGCCATCTCAAAACAGCAGAGACATGTTAATACTATTTAGTCAAGGGATTGGCTATCGACTTTTCATTGTTGTGCAGTAATAACAGGGTTAGAAATTGGCACTAGTCCTATAGTCCTTTCAAATCTGCCCAATAGTAAAGGTATCATAAGGACAAGTAGATATTTGTCATTTTTAGAGGTTTTGCTATATATTATCATTATAAGGACTAGTGGACCAAAAATGTTAGTTTCTACCGCTGAATAAGCAGCACCGCTTCACCAAAGAAATTTGTTCACATTTGTTTGAGACAACCACTTACATTTTTACCAAGTAGCCATATGTCCACAAGTATTTTTTTCCAGGTAGCCAGTGGTAAAATTAAGAGGTCAAGCCCATATTGTAGGTAGCAAAAAGCATTTAATATGTTCTTTAATCAAATAACTATTATCAGATTATATTATTAATTTATGTACAAGTCATAGCACTAGTCTTGGAATGGATTATTAGTGGAAACTGTACTTCATTGTTGAACAATGATGCAGTTTATGTTACCATGGTTACTAGATTATATAGATATGTACTAATTACATTAACATTTATGTATTTTGGTTCATCATGATTGTTGACTTTAGGAGGAATTACTTGCGAGACAATTATTAGCAGGCGTGTTTTCCAAGATCAGCCTTTATTTATTTTGGTGTCTTCATATGTGTAGCAATAGAATTTAGTCGGCACAAGATATTTTCAAGGTAGTCATTTGGTTATGTCTGAATTTAGACAGTAGATAAATTGAATAATCGGTCGCATTGTCGACCATTTCAGTAGGAACTTTGAGGCCTGTTACAACACTTAACAGAGTTCATATTTCAATATCCTTGTATTAGTGAGCCAGTGACATGGATAATATGATAATGAAATGGTTAACGTTAGCATGGTTAGTCCCTGGTGATGGAAGGGTACACTTAGAATCATTATGTTTCTTACACAGAACCTTTTGATGATTTATTTTATTTATGAAACCATTGATATACTGGACACATACATGGTATATCTTCCCTAACATTTAAATACTAGCTTCTGATTGGTAAAAGAGCAGGTAATTATTTACCATATAACCTTATATTACCCTCTTTCAGGCAGGGTACAAATTTCAGAGCTACAGATAAGCAGCGTATTTGCCTAAAATACCCCCCCAAAATATTCAAAACCCAATTACTTTTAATTTCTTGCGTACAGAATCACATGCATTTAATTAAAGACTCAAATTATGAAAACAGCATGCGTAAATACCCAATGAAGATTTTTCAGCTTGCGTACAAAGGAGCTAATTGTCGGAACACAATTACGAGCTAATTTACTTTACGAGTCAAGCCTATTTATTTAGAACAATTATATACATCTAAAACATTATTTCATTTTTTAAAAATCTTAAAATGTTCACTAATTTTGGGAAGTACCCAATAGTGTGATGAATAGATGAGTGAAAAAATATTTGTTACCCAATGAAAAATGTGATAACCCAATTAAAATAGAAACCCTAGAGTAAAAACTAAAATTCTTAAAAAAGTTATCTGGAGCCCTGAAATTTCATGTAACCCAGTGAGAAATCAATCGGAATGCATCTTACATAACCTGTTTATCTCTCATTAGTATCGTTGAGTTCCTGAAATGCATTCTGTAAAGGGAAGTACCGTATTCAACGTAATTAGCGTCCCGCTCTAATAAGCGCCCACGGCCACATTTGTTAATATATTGGCCAGTGAACAATCCCAATTAGCACCTCTTCCAATTGATCAATGTACACAAGACATATTTATTCGTGTATAATACGCACTCGTGTGTTATATGCACCCTTAATTATGGGCAATTAAATTCTGGAAAATATATCTGTCGTGTATAATACGCACAGACTGTTCTTTTGTATCATTTAGGCTGTCAGCATAAGCCATTAAATTTACAATCTTTCAATTCTGTTTTTTTCTCTCACTAAAATTATATTCTGATAAGAGCCCCCTATTTCTAATTTTGAGAGCGCCTTGGGCGTTTGCATCATTACTATGAGTTTCGCTAACATGAAAGTGTGGACATATATTCCAGACCTGCATGAATGAATATTGGTGAGATAAATTTGTTGTCAGCAGATCCCTTGGGGCATAGGGCATGATGCTGGTACATAGGCTCACACAAAGGGTACATCGGCTTACACAAAGGGTACATCAGCTCTCACAAAGGGTACATCGGCTCACACAAAGGGTTCAAAACAAGATTGGTTGACAACTTATAAAGAACAATACAATTCTCAACTTAAAGCTGGTCATACAGAAATTGAAAATGATGTTATGTATCTCAATGTAAAATTGTCAAACTCTCCAAATTACAACTACTTGTTAATTTATTTTTTTATAAGATTTACAGATTTACACAATACTTGTCCAGTTTGATCATGTCAGACCATCTTCCCGAGGCAAGGGAGTTAACTGACTTAAAATACTGGGGTGGAAGTATAGAGTTATATTTTGGCAGGACTAAAGGTTTTCAGCGTCAAAAGATGTTTTCCATATCTTTTCATGTTTTCAATCAAGGTGGTAAAGTGATTTGATGCACTTTGCGAGGTAAAACCCATTTTATTACAATAAAGAATTTTTTTATCAGTGAAATTGTCTTGACTGGGCGATGCCATTTTGTTTGTGCAAGAGACATGAGAGGTGGAATCTGTTGGTCAGTAGGAGGGACATTGAAGGGACATAACTCGTAATAGCCACTGGTGGAGCAACAATTCCAGAAATTCCAGTCTAGTTCTGCGAGGGTGGAAACTGGACTTTTAAAGTCAGTTAACTCCCTTGTCTAGAGATGTCAGACATCCAAAACTTGCATGTGTAAAAAAGAAAAAATGTTTGTTGTCAGCCAATTGAACTTGTCTGGTACTTTTCATACCAATATTTAAAAGTTTTCAAAACTGTACATGACCAGAATTTGTTAAGTGGGAAAAAAAGGTCCCCTTGTGTTTTCTCAACGTTTGTCGTCCAATTGAGGCTGAATATGTTATAACTTAAGTAAATGACAGCGGCAACATTTTGAGAAAGTCCCTGTTACCATGGCGAGGTCAAGAGTTTAATCAACAATGATCAACTTCAGTGATCCCCTGAGCAGCCAGATGAAAGTATGTAGCCCTGGGCCCGCTTGCACAAAGCGATCTTAGCGCTAAGACGATCGTAACTCCCATACTTTAACATAGGCTTACAATAGTCGTAGCACTAAGATGATTTCGCTTTGTGCAAGTGGGCCCTGATCTACTCCTCTAAATACAGAGTTCCAGCCTTTGACATCGGAGAGTATTCACAACTAGTCGTTACTATATATATTTTACATAAACCATTAGTTGTTACTGTAGATATTTAAATACAGGGAACTGCAGCGTCTTCTAACTTGTTACGACCGTCTCCATGGTCTTGTGGTAGAGCGTCCGCCCGGAGAGGGGAAGGTCCGGGGTTCGATCCCCGGCCGCGACATACCAAAAGACGTTAAAAGATGGTACTTGTTGTTGCCCTGTCTGGCGCTCTGCATTAAGGGGCTAAAACAAGGACTGGTCGGCTCAGAGTCAGTATACTGTGTCTGAGTGGGGTATTCATGTTAAACTGCGGCATGGTATCTCAGTGAGCTGGCACTATAAATCGGCATCAGTCCGGACTAGTACAAGCAGCCACACACACACGTGCATGCACGGTGCTATATAAGTGGAATAATCTTGGACGCGACGTTCACCTCACCTCTGACTTGTTACATTTCCTTTTGACGACTGCTTTTAGGAAAGTGGCAACTCTAGAGCAGAAGTGATACAAATTATTTCTAACCCTGTATCTATTGCTTGGGGTTGACACTAGTGCTGCAACAAATACACTATAAGGCGAATACGATCCGTATCATGATTATAGGGTAACGAATAAGAATATTGGGTAACGAATACGAATATTTATTCAAGAATGCAATAACAAGTCAGCAGTTGATCTATTATTTATGATATTCAGTGAAACAATAACAAAATTAATTATTTGACATGGTTTGTTAATTATTTTATTCATTTATACACTGCACTTATCCAGGTACTAGTATCTGCTCAAAGGCGACAATGACCATGAAGTGACTAAAATACTGTCAAATTAAATATAAAAGACTGTTGTTTTTGAAGAAATCTATGCATGTAACAGGATCTTATGAATTTTTTAAGGGTCAGTGTATGTAAATGCTCATGACTGCATCCTCATAAATATTCAAGTCCAGTGACCACGAATAATGAATCAATTCATGAATGGATACAGTTCAATTCACCGAATATGCGAGTGAATCGTAACAGCCCTAGTTAACACTACTATTGATCAATGAGTCCGATGTTACTCATGCCTTGATTTGATATTTTGTCAGACCCAACTGGCTCAACCATTGTCTTTTCATATTTTTCAATTATTTTGTTTAATTTCTTGTGTTTCCATGGAAACAATTTGGGTTAACAGTACTAACACTACTATTTATCAATGAGTCGGATGTTACTCATGCCTTGCTATTATCTTTTTCAGACCCAATTTGTACACAAAACAGCAATGAACTCAATGAGGTATCTGAGTCGAGGCAGAGTGCTTCTGCTTGTGATGGCACTGTCCTGTGCTGCCGAGGACAAGGATGGTATGTAGGCCCCAATACAACTGAAACTGTCATCTGAGATTATGCTTGTTGTGAGAAGGAATATTTCCTTTTATGGAAAGCCAGTGTTTGTCAACGATGACAACAAGGCACGCTTTTCTGTCATGATTAGTTTCATAAACAGCACTGATGACATGACTGTCAATGTAACTTATGACTTTTCAATTTATGCCCTTGCAATTTATGACCTTGCAATTTATGACCTTGCAATTTACGACCTTGCAATTTACGACCTTGCAATTTATGACCTTGCAATTTACGACCTTGCAATTTACTACCTACAGTGGTTTATGTTAATTTCAGTGTATTTCGTCAATTTTTTCCTCACTGCAGTCAAACGAACTCTGTAATCATGATAATAATAATAAAGCTTGTATTTATGCACAGACGAGAATGGCTGCTCAAAATGCTAAAAGGAGGAATAATGAATGTAAAATTATGCATTGAAATTGCATTTAAAAAGAATACGAAAAATAGATAGAAATGAGGTTTGAACCATTGATATAGCAGCTTCAAAAAGGAAGGTTTGAAGGTTAGCTCTAGAGGTTTCGAGACTGGGACAGAGATTCAACTCTAGACAGTAGACATGAAGAGGGAGGGAGTTTCACACAACTGGAAACAATGTCAGAGAATGTTCTATGAGGCGGTGTTTTGAGTCTGTGGGGTGGAACTGAGAGACGATTGCTTTCACTTGACCAGAGTAGACAATTTGTGGAGCAAGGAGGTCAGAGAGGTGATTCTTCTTATCTTAATTTCAGTGTATTTTGACACTTTTGCCAACTGCGCTCAAACGAACACTGTGGACTATACCAGCCAGGTGACCGTCCAAGCAGAACGTAATCCTGAAATGGCTTCCAACTCCTTCTCAGCCTGTGAGATCCTCTTCAGGGCCTCAGGGCCGGATGACGCTTTGTGTCTACAAATCGACCAACTTTACTTCAAGAACAGGGATTTGAAGCTCAACTACTATGATGCCCAAGAAGCAGCTGGCAACACACCAAATAGGGTATGTATTAGGGCTGGGAGGGGTAACTCGGGTACCCGGGGCGGGTGGGTACAGAGTAGGACCCGGGAAGCCACAGGACTACCTGGACCCGTGGTTAGTCACGTGATACATTGTTTAATGACTAAAATTATCCAAAACTCTGTGATTACACTATAAGTCACTAATGTTCGCTTTTCTTTCTTACTAGGCACCCATTCCTTCTGACTTTTCATATGGTTGAACAAACGTGTAAATTAAGTCACCTTCAGTGTATGCATGACCAGATTGTTTAATACATGTATCTAAATACGTTTTGTCAGGGCTATGCTAAAAACATTCCCAATAGGACATTTTGAGACATCTCCAGAGACCTCTAGTGGGTACCCAGGTAGGGTAGAGTAGGGTAGGGTAATAGGGGGGTGGGTACCCGGGTAGGGTAGGGTAGGGTAATAGGGGGGTGGGTACCTGGGTAGTAAATTTGGACTCGTCCCAGCCCTAGTATGTATTTGTGTCTTTGTTGTGTCATGCCACAGTCTCCAACCTTCCAGCAACTGTAGCAGTAGAGTTACCTCCCATGCCGTAATCGACGTAATAAGCGCCTAGGGCGCTCACAAAATTAGAAATAGGGGGCTCTTATTAGAATATTATTTTGGTGGGAAAAAAACACAGTTGAAAGATAAATTTCGTGGTTTATGCTAACGGCCTGACTGTTTATATACGACAGATCTATTTTTTCAGAATATAATTGCCCATAAAGGGTGCATAGAACACACAAGGGCGTATCATAAGTCTTGTGTACATTGATCAATCGGAAGGGGTGCTAATTAGGATTGTTCACTTGCCAATATATTTGCAAATATCGCCGTGGGCGCTTATTATAGCGGGGCGCTCATTACGGCGAATACGGTATTTGAAGAAGTAGCATAGCGCCACCTGTAACTAGTGTAAGCATGGTGGAACAAAAGAATGTGGTCGCCGAGGACGCGCTGACAAACTGTTACATTTAATAACATCCCTTCATTTGATAGGGGCGGTCGGGTAGCCTAGTGGTGAAAGCGTTCGCTCGTCACGCCGAAGACCCGGGTTCGATTACAGACATGGGTACAATGTGTGAAGCCCATTTCTGGTGTCCCCCGCCCTGATATTGCTGGAATATTGCTAAAAGCGGCGTAAAACCATACTCACTCACTCACTTCATTTAATACTGTTTTTTTCTTGTGGTTTTCTTTGTTAAAGTGTTTGAGATAACAATAAATAAATATATGAAGGAAGAGGTTTTAGAGCTGTATTTCAGTGATTTCATCATTTCTTACGATTGATGTAGTGTATCGTGATACCATTATTATCGTCAGTCCGTACTATAAAACGGGCATTATATTATTTATTCGAGCTGGTACAAGCAGCCACACACACACCTACCAGGGCTGCAACGATATACCGAGGTCAGGATACGATACGTATCTCGATACGCTATGATGCACATAGTGACGAGAGAAGACAAGGGATAAAAGAATTGAACTTAGTTTATTAAAATGAAAAAATAAAAGGAAAGTGAATGAATGTTCATGAGTCATAAAATATATATTGTAATGCGTATTTTATTTATCAACTTAATGAATCATCTGCCATTTCCATGTAATGGCTAGCAAACAGAAAAGTAACAGTCCCACATTGGACTAGATAAGTACCAGTAACCATCATGTCATTTTCACAGTAAGTCCCTGGTGGTTTCTCAACAAAGGACAAGCGTCTGTTTTTCTGACATGTTTGAGTTAGAGACCGCTCAGCCAATCTGCTTGAAGTTGAACTGCTACTGATATACAAAGCAAGCATAGCTGCTCTATTTCCCTATGATTTTATGACTCGGTTTGAATTTGAAATTAATTTAAAACACATTTAAAATATATGTGTGATAAAAGTTTATTTAAAAAAACGTATCGTGAAAAATCGAGTATCAGCACCTGACAAATCTCGCACCGCATCGTGTGGAGTGACTCGCGATGCATCGGTGTCCTGGGATATCATTTCAGCCCTACCACCTACACGCACACGCACACGCACACGCACACGCACGAGCGCACGCACGCACACACACACTAACACACACACTAACACACACACACGGACACGATTTCACCTCACCTGTTACAAAACAGTTGTATTGTTGGCAAACATGTCTCGATGAGCTACTTCATTATTTTAACAAGATCTTATGAGTAGTTATCTTGGACACAGGTGTTCAGTGATGATACTAGCGATACCTTTTCGGTGCCAATGGAAATCTGTACAACTGGTCGATACGCATCCTTGGCCTTGAAACCGAATGTTACCGGCGGCGCCATAGCCAGCATCAAGGATATCGACATCAACATCAAAGTCCGGAACATGCATGGAAGCCGAAGAACTGGTGAGTAGAGGCACGGATGAGCTGAACACTGCACTGAACACTGGCAGCGTGAGTAGAGGGGTATATGCTGAATGCGTAAGAGGCGACGATGCTTGTCGTAAGAGGCAACGATGCTTGTCGTAAAAGGCGACTAAGGGGATCGGGTGGTTAAGGCATGTCATCGTATCCCAGTTGCGTAGATCGATGCTCATGTCAATCACTGGATTGTCTGGTCCAGACTCAATTATTTACAGACCGCTGTCATATAGCTGAGTGAGATGTTAAACTGTCTGTCGTAAGTCAGTGTTAAAGTATGAGAGTTACAATAGTCTTAGCACAATGTCTGTCATAAGTCAGTGTTTAAGTATCAGAGTTACAATAGTCTAAGCACAACGTCTGTCGTTAGTTAGTGTTAACGTATGAGAGTTACAATAGTCTTAGCACAATGTATGTCATAAGTCAGTGTTAAAGTATGAGAGTTACAATAGTCTTAGCACAATGTCTGTCATATGTCAGTGTTAAAGTATGAGAGTTACAATAGTCTTAGCACAATGTCTGTCATATGTCAGTGTTAAAGTATGAGAGTTACAATAGTCTTAGCACAATGTCTGTCATATGTCAGTGTTAAAGTATGAGAGTTACAATAGTCTTAGCACAATGTCTGTCATATGTCAGTGTTAAAGTATGAGAGTTACAATAGTCTTAGCACAATGTCTGTCGCAAGTCAGTGTTAAAGTATGAGAGTTACAATAGTCTTAGCACAATGTATGTCGTAAGTCAGTGTTAAAGTATGAGGGTAACAATAGTCTTAGCACAACGTCTGTCCTAAGTCAGTGTTAAGGTATGAGAGTAACGATCATCTTAGCACAATGTATGTCGTAAGTCAGTGTTAAAGAAAAGGAGTTCCGGTTATCTTAGCACCTGGGCTGTCATAAGTCAGTGTTAAGGTATGGGAGTTACGATCCTCTTAGCACCATGTATGTCGTAAGTCAGTGTTAAGGTATGGAAGTTCTGATCATCTTGGCACCATGTATGTCATAAGTCAGTGTTAAGGTATGGAAGTTCTGATCATCTTGGCACCATGTATGTCGTAAGTCAGTGTTAAGGTATGGAAGTTCTTATCATCTTGGCACCATGTATGTCATAAGTCAGTGTTAAAGTATGGAAGTTCTGATCATCTTGGCACCATGTATGTCGTAAGTCAGTGTTAAAGTATGGAAGTTCTGATCATCTTGGCACCATGTATGTCGTAAGTCAGTGTTAAGGTATGGAAGTTCTGATCATCTTGGCACCAAATATGTCATAAGTCAGTGTTAAAGTATGGAAGTTCTGATCATCTTAGCACCATGTATGTCATAAGTCAGTGTTAAGGTATGGAAGTTCTGATCATCTTAGCACCATGTATGTCGTAAGTCAGTGTTAAGGTATGAAAGTTCTGATCATCTTGGCATCATGTATGTCGTAAGTCAGTGTTAAGGTATGAAAGTTCTGATCATCTTAGCACCATGTATGTGGTAAGTCAGTGTTAAAGTATGGAAGTTCTGATCATCTTAGCACCATGTATGTGGTAAGTCAGTGTTAAAGTATGGAAGTTCTGATCATCTTAGCACCATGTATGTCGTAAGTCAGTGTTAAGGTATGGAAGTTCTGATCATCTTGGCACCATGTATGTGGTAAGTCAGTGTTGAAGTATGGAAGTTCTGATCATCTTGGCACCATGTATGTCGTAAGTCAGTGTTAAGGTATGGAAGTTCTGATCATCTTGGCACCATGTATGTGGTAAGTCAGTGTTAAAGTATGGAAGTTCTGATCATCTTAGCACCATGTATGTCGTAAGTCAGTGTTAAAGTATGGAAGTTCTGATCATCTTGGCACCATGTATGTCGTAAGTCAGTGTTAAAGTATGGAAGTTCTGATCATCTTGGCACCATGTATGTCGTAAGTCAGTGTTAAGGTATGGAAGTTCTGATCATCTTGGCACCATGTATGTGGTAAGTCAGTGTTAAAGTATGGAAGTTCTGATCATCTTAGCACCATGTATGTCGTAAGTCAGTGTTAAAGTATGGAAGTTCTGATCATCTTGGCACCATGTATGTGGTAAGTCAGTGTTAAAGTATGGAAGTTCTGATCATCTTGGCACCATGTATGTCGTAAGTCAGTGTTAAGGTATGGAAGTTCTGATCATCTTGGCACCATGTATGTGGTAAGTCAGTGTTAAAGTATGGAAGTTCTGATCATCTTAGCACCATGTATGTCGTAAGTCAGTGTTAAGGTATGGAAGTTCTGATCATCTTGGCACCATGTATGTCAGTGTTAAAGTATGGAAGTTCTGATCATCTTGGCACCATGTATGTCAGTGTTAAAGTATGGAAGTTCTCGTCATCTTGGCACCATGTATGTCGTAAGTCAGTGTTAAAGTATGGAAGTTCTGATCATCTTAGCACCATGTATGTCGTAAGTCAGTGTTAAGGTATGGAAGTTCTGGTCATCTTGGCACCATGTATGTCGTAAGTCAGTGTTAAGGTATGGAAGTTCTGATCATCTTGGCACCATGTATGTCATAAGTCAGTGTTAAGGTATGGAAGTTCTGATCATCTTAGCACCATGTATGTCGTAAGTCAGTGTTAAAGTATGGAAGTTCTGATCATCTTAGCACCATGTATGTCGTAAGTCAATGTTAAGGGTATGGAAGTTCTGGTCATCTTAGCACCATGTATGTCGTAAGTCAGTGTTAAAGTATGGAAGTTCTGATCATCTTGGCACCATGTATGTGGTAAGTCAGTGTTAAAGTATGGAAGTTCTGATCATCTTAGCACCATGTATGTCGTAAGTCAGTGTTAAGGTATGGAAGTTCTGATCATCTTAGCACCATGTATGTCGTAAGTCAGTGTTTAGGTATGGAAGTTCTGATCATCTTAGCACCATGTATGTGGTAAGTCAGTGTTAAAGTATGGAAGTTCTGATCATCTTAGCACCATGTATGTCGTAAGTCAGTGTTTAGGTATGGAAGTTCTGATCATCTTAGCACCATGTATGTCGTAAGCCAGTGTTAAGGTATGGAAGTTCTGATCATCTTAGCGCAGGGCCCTGGCTGATTGTTTGTCATGATCACCTGCCCTGCAGATTTCTGTTCATGCCATGGACCTCTAGTTTTCCTGCCCAATTGACTCGATTGGTGTAAAGCAACATTCACTCACTGTTACTATGGTTACAGTTTACATGGATACGGACTGTGGAGCTGTCAGTGGAAGGAGGGAGGTGGATGAAAGTCAGACAGTTGTTGTTATGAATCGCCATGCTGACCGCACAGCTGATCTGCCTGGAGTGTGTCAAGCGGTTTTCAAATACACTGGAGAAGACAAGAATAAGACGGTGTGTCTGCAGTACCTGCAAAAGGAGCAGTACTGCAACTACAAGCTGAAAGTCTTAGATGGAAATCTCACAACATTTGCTGAGTCCCATGTAAGTTTTGATAATTGTGATGATGATGATGATGATGATGATGATGATGGTGGTGGTGGTGATTGTGGTGGTGGTTATTATGGTGGTGGTGATTGTGGTGGTGGTGGTGGTGATTGTGGTGGTGGTGGTGGTGATTGTGGTGGTGGTGGTGGTGATTGTGGTGGTGGTGGTGGTGATTGTGGTGGTGGTGATTGTGATTGTGGTGGTGATTGTGGTGGTGGTGATTGTGGTGGTGGTGGTGATTGTGGTGGTGGTGATTGTGATTGTGGTGGTGATTGTGATGGTGGTGATTGTGGTGGTGGTGGTGATTGTGGTGGTGGTGATTGTGATGGTGGTGATTGTGGTGGTGGTGATTGTGGTGGTGGTTGTGGTGGTGGTTGTGGTGATTGTGATGGTGGTGATTGTGGTGGTGGTGATTGTGGTGGTGGTGATGGTGGTGATTGTGTTGGTGGTTGTGATTGTGGTGGTGGTGTTGCCTGCATCACATGCTAATTGTTGTCATTATAGTGATGGTGGTGGTTGTGATTGTGGTGGTGGTTATTATGGTGGTGGTGGTGGTTGTGATTGTGGTGATTATGGTGGTGGTTGTGATTGTGGTGATTGTGGTGGTGGTGGTGATTGTGGTGGTGGTGGTGGTGATTGTGGTGGTGGTGGTGGTGATTGTGGTGGTGGTGTTGCCTGCATCACATGCTAATTGTTGTCACTATAATGATGGTGGTGGTGGTGATTGTGGTTGTGGTGATTGTGGTGGTGGTGGTGGTGGTGGTGATTGTGGTGGTGGTGGTGGTGGTGGTGATTGTGGTGGTGGTGGTGGTGATTGTGGTGGTGGTGTTGCCTGCATCACATGCTAATTGTTGTCACTATAATGATTGTGGTGGTGGTGATTGTGGTTGTGGTGATTGTGGTGGTGGTGGTGATTGTGGTTGTGGTGATTGTGGTGGTGGTGGTGGTGGTGGTGATTGTGGTGGTGGTGGTGGTGATTGTGGTGGTGGTGGTGGTGATTGTGGTGGTGGTGTTGCCTGCATCACATGCTAATTGTTGTCACTATAATGATTGTGGTGGTGGTGATTGTGGTTGTGGTGATTGTGGTGGTGGTGGTGATTGTGGTGGTGGTGGTGGTGGTGATTGTGGTGGTGGTGGTGGTGGTGGTGATTGTGGTGGTGGTGGTGGTGATTGTGGTGGTGGTGTTGCCTGCATCACATAATAATTGTTGTCACTATAATGATGGTGGTGGTGGTGATTGTGGTGGTGGTGGTGATTGTGGTGGTGGTGGTGATTGTGGTGGTGGTGTTGCCTGCATCACATGCTAATTGTTGTCATAATGATGATGATGATGATGATGATGATGATGACGATGATGATGACGATTCTTAGCTCACCTAAAATTCAAGTGAGAACATGTCATGCCCTGTGTCAACAACATCTTCTCAGAAATCAGGGGGCACATGAGGCTGAAACTTCATCAGCTTCATCATACCTGCCTGGTTTTGTTGAAGAGGATTGAATCATATTGTCAATATGGCTGCCCTGGCGGCCATATTGAAAAAGCTTCTTTTGGCTCCTACTCAGCCTTGTCTGTAAAATGTTCACGTAATACTGTCAGAGTGCAATTTGGATGCTGTAAACATCTTCTCTGAGGTCCTTTTTTTGAGCAACTGACGTCAACATTTGTTGAGATATTCATCATTTAAACAGTATTTTAACATGTTAAGTTCCAAAGTCTGTTTATAATTTGGTTTAAATGTTTCCCTTGGATTTTATGAGATTTAAAACTCATATCCTCAGAATAAATTGAACTTAGTTTTCAATAATATGGGAAGGACCTCCCTCACATGTTTTGGGAGGAAAAGACAACAATAATTAGGCTTTCCCCAAGTTGGAGGTGTCATACTTTGATTAGGGTATAGCATGTCTTTGGCTTTCCCTAAGTTGGAGGTGTCATACTTTGATTAGGGTATAGCATGTCTCTGGCTATCCCTGAGTTAGAGGTGTCATACTTTGATCAGGGTATAGTATGTCTTTGGCTTTCCCTAAGTTGGAGGTGTCATACTTTGATTAGGGTATAGTATGTCTCTGGCTTTCCCTGAGTTGGAAGTGTCATACTTTGAATAGGGTATAGTATGTCTCTGGCTTTCCTTAAATTGGAGGTGTCATACTTTGATTAGGGTATAATATGTCTCTGGCTATCCCTGAGTTGGAGGTGTCATACTTTGATTAGGGTATAGCATGTCTCTGGCTATCCCTGAGTTGGAGGTGTCATACTTTGATTGAAGTATATGTGTCTCTGTGGCTATCCCTGAGTTGGAGGTGTCATACTTTGATTAGGGTATAGCATGTGTCTGGCTATCCCTGAGTTGGAGGTGTCATACTTTGATTGAAGTATATGTGTCTCTGTGGCTATCCCTGAGTTGGAGGTGTCATACTTTGATTAGGGTATAGCATGTCTCTGGCTATCCCTGAGTTGGAGGTGTGATACTTTGATTAGGGTATAGCATGTCTCTGGATATCCCTGAGTTGGAAGTGTCATACATTGATTGAAGTATATGTGTCTCTGTGGCCATCCCTGAGTTGGAGGTGTCATACTTGATTAGGGTATAGCATGTCTCTGGATATCCCTGAGTTGGAGGTGTCATACTTTGATAAGGGTATAGCATGTCTCTGGATATCCCTGAGTTGGAAGTGTCATACACTGATTGAAGTATATGTGTGTATTCGGCTATCCCTGAGTTGGAGGTGTCATACTTTGATTAGAGTATAGCATGTCTCTGGCTATCCCTGAGTTGGAGGTGTCATACTTTGATTAGGGTATAGCATGTCTCTGGATATCCCTGAGTTGGAGGTGTCATACTTTGATTAGGGTATAGCATGTCTCTGGATATCCCTGAGTTGGAGGTGTCATACTTTGATAAGGGTATAGCATGTCTCTGGATATCCCTGAGTTGGAGGTATCATACTTTGATAAGGGTATAGCATGTCTCTGGATATCCCTGAGTTGGAAGTGTCATACATTGATTGAAGTATATGTGTGTATTCGGCTATCCCTGAGTTGGAGGTGTCATACTTTGATTGAAGTATAATATGTGTCTCTGTGGCTATCCCTGAGTTGGAGGTGTCATACATTGATTGAAGTATAATATGTGTCTCTGTGGCTATCCCTGAGTTGGAGGTGTCATACATTGATTAGGGTATAGCTTGTCTCTGGCTATCCCTGAGTTGGAAGTGTCATACATTGATTGAAGTATATGTGTCTCTGTGGCTATCCCTGAGTTGGAGGTGTCATACTTTAATTAGGGTATAGTATGTCTCTGGCTTTCCCTGAGTTGGAGATGTCATACATTGATTAGGGTATAGCATGTCTCTGGCTTTCCCTGAGTTGGAGATGTCATACATTGATTAAAGTATAATATGTGTCTCTGTGGCTATCCTAGTCCTGCACCATGACCGTGGAATATATTTATTTTATTTAAAAAAATAATCTAGAAATGCATACAAAAGCAAGTCTAGCCAACATAGGGAATTTTTTTTTATATCAAGAAGGATATTGTGTAATATAAGATTTCAGAGACTAAATGTTAGTCTATTTTTGCGAGTTCTTTGTCTCTGTCACCTAATACTAATGAGTAATACTGTTCAATGACAGGTGAAATATTTCTTCAACAGACATACAGCTGCACAAGCAGTGAGCCCAAGATGTGGTGTTCCAAGGGGAGCTACCTCACACTGGAGCTGACGCGGGAGGCCACCCTTACTGCATCACTGGAGCCAGCTGACCTCTTCACCGTCAATGTCAAGGACGGTGTTTCAGGTCAGAATTCAGAAACCACTACCGGCAACTATAAGGGACCAACAAGTGTGTACTTTTTCAAAATGTTGATAAAATTTGGAAATGTATGGAGAGGTGGAATGCCAGATTAACTAATTGTTCTTGAAGTGAACGGTGAATGTCGTGTTTCAACTTTGATGTCACTGCTACTACATGGGCCCTTCATCTCATCTCAACTACTTTATCCTACAGTTTATCCATCCAGATTTTATATTTTACTCCACAATCACTCACTGAGTGAGTGAGTGGTTGGTTGGTTGGTTTGATATCATGAGCATCGACCCACGCAATTGGGATCGATGACATGCATCAACCAAGTCAGCGAGCCTGACCACCTGATCCCGTTATTTACCGACCACTGTCATATAGCTGGAATATTGCTGAGTGCGGCGTTAAACAACAAACAAACCACTCACTCACTCACTCAATCTCAATGAATGAATCAATCAATCAATGAGTCAATCACTCTCTCTCTCTCCTGCAGAACAAGACTGTCCTCATTATGGCGCTCTGTATTGTATATCTTCAGGTAGTACAGTATTTCCTGATGAGCCCAAGCCAGATGGCGGCCTGTCGTGGTGGGTGATCGCGCTGATTGTGGTTGGGGCCATTATAGTCATCCTGGTGCCTGTGGTCTTCTGCTGTGTGAAGAAATCTAAGGGTAGGGGCAGAAGTGACGTGAATATGCAGAAACTGTAACTTGTACAAGACGTAAGGCTGGAAGTGAATTCTAGTTCTGCCAGTTTCATTTATGTTGATTTAGGACAATTAGGTTATGCAATCTTTAAGTTTGATAAACATAAGTTGAAATTGTCTTGCTATTTGAAAGTTTAAGTGTTATAAGATGTATGTATTATCACATTATATTGAGTACTGTATCAGCCTTAAGTCATTTAAGTAGTTGCGGAGGAGAAAAGAAAAAAATATTCCAAATCATTACAAATTAGTCATCTTCAATTAAAAGGTATTAACCTTTTATTTAGCTGTGTCTTCCATCTTACACAAAAGGATTTCACAAAAAGTAGTCCTTTGAAAATGATATTCCATTTTTTGTCCTTGTAGGCATCTCAATTCTTTACTTGGTATTTTTGCTTTTGTACTTCAATCCACCTAACTTTGGGTAAAATTTTGAAATTCTATTTTCAGATATTTAATTAAATTTATGAAATTTTCTCAGCTGTTACTAGCACAATAAGACGGGTGTATTTTCCTTTGCAAAATGTAAACCTGCATATAAAGGGAGATCACTGCAGATAAAGGGAGATCACTGCAGTTTTTCTCACAGAATTCTTCCAAGGCTGAAAACTATGTCTTAATGACCTGTTAACGTACACCTGAATACCCTTGACCAATGAAAGTTTACAGGGTGGTCAAATGATGCATAATATTTTATCCTTTTAAATTTTACATGCAATAACTTGTTGATAGCTTGACCTTGACCTCAGCCAATATCTGGCCATCTGAGTCTGTAGAAATGTGGCAAGGGTCAAGTTTCACTAGCATTTATCAGTTAGTCAGCACATTTGTCAACCCATTTTGAAAGAGTTCAACTTTCAGTAATTTATTCAAAACTCTTGTCACATGAGACATTTCAGTTGTGTTTAGAGATGAACGTCTACCATTCACGGTCTTATATCTATATACCGTATTCGCTGTAATAAGCGCCCGGGGCGCTCTCAAAATTAGAAATAGGGGACTCTGAAAGATTGTAAATTTTGTAGTTTAGGCTGATAGCCTGAAATGATACAAAAGAGAAGTATGTGCGTATCATACATGACAGATATATTTTCCAGAATTTAATTGCCCATAATTAAGGGTGCATATAACACAAGAGTGCGTATTATACACGAATAAAAAAGTCTTGTGTACATTGATCAATCGGAAGGGGTGCTAATTGGGATTGTTCACTAGCCAATAGCAAATATCGCTGTGGGCGCTTATTACATCAAATACGGTACTCCACTTTCGATGGGGACTGTGTTATCTTCTAAGATCATGATGATAAACAAGACTCATTCACATGATCAGCTGATATTATGTCAAGTGTACATTTTAATAGACTGACCTATATGATTTTGCTTGTCGTAAAAGGCGACTAACGGGATCGGGTGGTCAGGTTTGCTGACTTGGTTGATGCACGTCATCAATCCAAATTGTGTGGATCAATGCTCATGTTATCAATCACTGGATTGACTGGTCCAGACTCGATTATTTACAGACCGCCGTCATATAGCTGGAAAATTGCTGAGTGCGGCGTTAAACAACAAACTAACCAACCAACCTATCTGATTATCCCTATGAGAAGTTGTGTAGCTATGCAGGGGTAGAAACTAACATTCTTAGTCCACTAGTTCGTATAATGACAGCAAAACCTTTAAAAATGGCACATTTCTACGAGCACCTTTGGTACCTTACTATTGGGCAGTTTGGCAACGACTACAAGACTGGTGCCAATTTCTGATGCTGATGTGTTAAAGGTTATTGACACACTTCCACTAAACTCTTGATATCAGCAATCTAGTGGCAGTGTTTGAAATTAAGCATGAAAGTCAAAGGATGTTTTTAATAACCCTTATGTTAATGGTAGAAAATTTGAGATTCAAGTACTGTCGGAATGAATCTCAGCTTCCTTGCATTGTTTGGAAGACTTAAGTTGTAGATATTTAGCAAATCATATCAACTAGCATGGTTATTATGGACAAATATGGTGTCTGCCCCATTTGATGTATAAAGTATCAAGAGTATTACCAGTGTTCGAAATACCTGCCTGCCCGACCGTCCGAGACGGGTTGATTTCAACTCGGGCTGCCAGATTTTCAAATCCCCCTGCCCGACGGTCAGGTTATATTTCATATGTGAAAATATTCAAAATATTTCCCAATGATAAGCATTAATTCACATGTAAAGATGAATGATAAAATGTAACCAAAAAGAAACCCTGTTAGCTTATCCTGAGAAACATATGATTATAGTGGGCAGGCAGGTTTTGGTCAGGGCTGGCAAGTATTTCAGCTAGCCAGTCCTGTGGTCTGGCTGAAATTTGGGGAGTTTCATACCCTGGTATTACCAAGTTCACAAGACAGGTCAGCTTTTATTATCAATACTTCTTTATTTATACTTTTGAATACCTCATTCAGATGTAAATAATACTACAAAGTCTCCAAATGTTTTCGTGATAAGTTAAATAAGACTAGAAATTTATGTGTGCGCATCAAACAAGTAGTCATGTGTTAATTGTGCATGTATATTCAAGATGGTCTCTCACCATGTGTTTGTTGAGCATGTTGAGTGCTCGTTTCTGGTCTTAATATAACTTGCAATGCTCTGTTTGATGTTTGAAATGTGTGATATTGAGGTGATGAGTTTCTACATTCTTGTTTGTAAATATGTATGCATGTTTATTTTATCTGGTTCGCCATTGTGATAATAAATTTATTTTTTTTGTCAAGGGAGGTAACTCTGAATCAGACCTCTAGTCATACACAATTTATGCCAGTGGTAAGATTAGTTTTAGGAATTTATTTTTGCTTTTGTTTTTGGATTGGCTCTATTTATTGTTTTCTGAAAGCCAGTGCACTAAAATCTTTGCTGTGTTTTTGTGGATTTTTTTTCATTTTGATAGGCTTCTGTTGTGTTTTTTGGCTCAACCGATTTCAAGACCTGTTGAGTAATAACTGGTGCATTGGCTGTTGTTTGGCTGTCTACTATCCTGCCATTCCTGTTAGCTGATGTAGTTATGGAACAAATTCCAGGCAAGGAAATAAAAAGTACCATCTTTTACCATTTAGGTATGACACAATCAGAAAATCGTACCATGACTGCTATCTGAGCAAACACTCCACTACACAGTGGAGGCGGTCTTGTATCATTATAGTGAAAGAACAAACAATTATTCATATTTAAGTAACTGTCCCCTAATAAACTGCAGGGCCTAGAATACACTTGTTTCTATAGTGATTTACCTGGATTTGAATAGTTAATACACATCAAGTCAGTCTATATTAATTAGGGTTGGCGTACAGGCACATAATTCACATTGCAGTGTATCACAGTATGGATAGCTGTTTGCGATACATATCGCAATATGTATTGGGGTCATATCTCTTGCATTTGCTTTAAACAAAATGGTCGCAGCCAGGGAAGACAATCTATCTTAGATCTATTTTGTAATAAGACGGGTTTACTTTGCGAATTGCATCAAATCATGGGAGCACCTTGATTAAAAATATGAAAAGATTTGAAAAAATTCTGTTGACAGCGTGTTTGTTGATGGTACACATGCTTTGCAAATCCTGCAATCAACGGAAACTACACGGCAGTTTACGAATCATATGCCGATTTTATTACACGATTTTGATTGGACTTTGCATAGACTCGTTAGTCCAGCCAAAGTATAACCCCATAATTTCAGCCTAGTTCAGCAAGGGTGGAAACTGGACTTATATAGTCAGGTAATTCCTTTGCCTCGGGGAGATGAAAACTAGCTGATTGTGAAATGTTGAGTAACAGTTCTGACTTTAATGAGATTGAGCTATTTGGATATCAATCTCATTGAAATCAGATCTTAGTTTTTGCTGCGGCTAAACAAAGATCTGAGGACATCCCATTAGGGGTCATGTCAGAACGACCTTTCATCCGACCCATCAGAGCGTCGCTTACCAGATCATGAAAGTGACAGTCGGAATGTGATTTCTCATCATGCAACCCCGAAAACTTAAACACATGGGGTATTCCGAACGTTAGTTACAGGTTTAACGACTGAATCCATACAATCTAGACCATATATTTGCCATTCCAGAATGTTCTTTTGTTCAGGTTTCAAATTTTTAATCAAGAATTTGTCAAAATATGTTTCGAAGCGTAGTCGCCAATTTGAATTTAGTGCCATAAAGCACGAAAAAGCTGCCTTCTGATTGGCTAATGTCGACTTCTTGTCAGTCCTTCCATTGGTCGGTCAAAATTCGCGCAAGGTCGGTCTGACGTGCCCCTAATGGGATGTCCTCAGATCTTTGTTTAGCGATAGCAAAACTAAGATCTGATTTTAATGAGATTGTTTGGATATTCATCGGTAGGGAAGAAATGAAAGCTGGCAAGAACCAGTTGAGCTCAACTCCAAGAGGATTTGTGGTTACCATGGCATAGTTAGTTGTCAGGAATATTAACCAATTCATACTTGCATTTAACACTGCTGCTTTTAGTATCATGTTCCCTTAATCTGAACTAACTGACAGGCAACAAAGGAAATCACTGTTTGATGTTGCTATCATAATATTTCAAACTTATCTGAAAGTAGGGGTTAGAGAGGGGTGAACAAGAACATTTACGTGGGCCTCTAATGATATATGTAGGTATTTCTTTTAAAATAGACAGACACAGTTTCTTCTTATGTACTAGTATTCATCAGCCACCACAATACATCTCCTGCACTCATACATGTTGTCACTCATCTGCCAGCCTAAAGTAAACCAAGATGGCCACCGTAAAGTCATTCCCAAAGCATAGAGGGCAGTTTCGTATTCCATGGGAAGTTTCGTATCCACATATTAACAGTTTCAGAAGAGAGGATGCACTCCATCCTCCTCGTCTGCTAGTGAAGTTGATGTATATGTTCCCTGAATCTCAAAATTAGCCCTTACATATTTGCGTCTTTTTTCTTCAAAA